TTAAAAAGTGAACTTTGTTAAATGCTCAGATCTTATTTTAAAAAACTAATGACCCTACTCTATAATCTACACATATAATATATATATTATAATAATTAAAACGAATAAATTTGAGTTCAAAAGATTATTCGATTATTTAATCTTCTGTTCTTAGTGAGAAATGTCGGTTTTGTGAAACTCGAATAATGAAAAACGCGAATTTGATATTATGTTACAAGGCGAAAACGCGTTTCACATATGTACCTTTACTTATACACACATTCGATGGGTTCCTTTTTTCCCCCCATGAATATTAACAAGTTCATCAACTGTCTCTCTCTCTCTCTCTCTCTCTCTCTCTTTCTTTAATTCTTTTTTCTTTTTTTTAACCCATCATTTTTTCTAACTTATTTAATTTATACAAATATGAGGAAGCATCATATATCCATGAAAACAAAATAAAATAATTATCAAGGAAGACAACGACGACGACAATGATGATGATAATGATGATGATGATGATGATGATCATGATGAAATAAATTTTTCATTCTTTCTACGATGATTATTAATGTCGGATATACATATGCAAATATGTGTGCAGCGTTGAATAAATGATTAAATTCAACGATCAGCTGATCACTTTAGTTCGATTCTTAGGATTTTGATAATCATACAGTCATCACTGTGACAACCGTGTCATAGTGATCGTGAACGATGATGATGATGATGATGATGATGATGATGATGATGATGATAATAATAATGATGATGTTGCTGATGATAGTAACGAGGATGATGAGGATGATAATAATAATAATGATAATAATGATAATAATAAAAGTAAAGTGTTATGTTTGATGGTAAAATCGGTAGCATAGGAGGATACATTTACGGTTGGCCGATTTTTGCCAATTTTGATGGAGGTAGGTAACTCCGTAGCCAAAGTCGGTGGTAGTCGTGCATGATGGTTCGAACCATGAAAAAGAGAAATTTCCATATGAGCAGAATTGTTTTCCGTTTTATCCATCTCCCCTTGACCATAAAGGATCCTATGATTATTATTATCATCGTCGTATATGGAAGACCATGTAGCCAGTTCCGTTTTAGCTGGTCCTGGTATTTCTGTAATTGAATTGACAGTAACACATAAGGACGGTAACATAAATAAATAAATAAATGCAACGACACAACGACATGGTGATATTAAAAAAGAATTATTAGCAAAGTAAATAAAATAAAATAAATATGCAGTAGAAATGTTATTGGTTTTTTTGTCAGACAAATCGTTTAGAAAAATTATTGTGTCGTCAATAAAAGGATAAAAATAAATGAATGAACGAATGAATGAATAAATAAATGTACGAAACAACGACAGGAAGATTATAAAAAAAAATTGTGAGTAAAATAAAATAAAATAAATGTGAAATATAAGAAGACATTTGTTAAGAAATAAATCGTTCTGAAATATTATTGTGTCCATAGAAAATGTTAGGAAGGAAGAAAAGAATGGAAAGAAAGAAAGAAATAAATGAAGGAAAGGGAAAGTTAGAAAGAAATGAAGAAATAAATAAAGGAAGAAGAAAGGAGACATATCGTTTTCAATACATTGCTCCATTATTCTCCTTTCCTTCCTCATTCTCATTTTCTCCTTCTTCTTCTTTTTCTTCTTCTACTTCTTATTTTATCTTTTTCTATTCCTTATCTATTTTCTCTCCCTTCCTTTTCTTCTTCTTTTTTTCTTTTTTAGTATTTTCTCGGTGCGTTAAGTTTTTTCACTTACCGTACAAACGAATCGTGCTGTCAACCTCGCCGAGAGAATTTTTCGCTGCACAGTGATATGTTCCAACGTTGTCCTTTTGAAGATTCTTTATCAACAGGGTCATACGTACTTCGAACGGTGACTTTTCGTACATCTCGACTACGTGTTGCGTACTGGTTATTAACATCGTTCCTTTTTTTCAAAAATGGAAAGTGAGGGATACAACATTTGTTTATATTAAAAATCATTTTTCGATCATATCGAATGTTTTTTCTTTTTTTTTTTTTTCAACGTTAGATCAAAATCAAAAATATTATTTATTTTCTTTTTTTTCTTTTTTTCCGTTCAAATAGCGCATATATCGATAATTTTTTTTATATTCAATGATTCTGAATATATAAAATATAGAATTAATGTTTCGATTCGCATTATTCTTTCGCGAATTATTCTTCCTATTATTGCTTAAACTTTATATTACATTTTTCCTGATGTTATATTATAATTTTGAAAAATAAAATTGAATAATACAATCAATGGAAAAGACATCTTTTAAAACATGTTTATATACCTTCCTTTACCCAATAATTAATTGACATTGGAGATGCTTCGACGTAACATTCCAAGACCACGTCTGTACCTAAAGGTGCTCCAACAAGTTGATTAGGTACATGAATAGCAGGAGGAACTGAAAAGAAATATCAATATATATAATTAAAATTAATTATTTAATGAAAGTATTATTAAATTATTAACAAATTCTCGCATCTCCGGCAAATTGTTTTCCCGTTTTTAATACCGAGTATTAGAAAGTAATGAAAATTCTGAAGCTGGTTACCGCAAACTTTTATCGTTAAAGCAAAGATAAAAATTATAAAATTTTTTTTGAAATTTCAATGTTGCAATTATGTGTTGTTTAATTTTGTCCTAGATTCTCCAATACGACGTAAAGTCGAAAAGAATGCCAAAAAATTTATACCGAAACTGGGTCTCGCCGGGTTTAATCCTTGTTCAAACATATTTGCAAGTAGATGTTGCATAAGTTGTTTACAGAATCTGCTGCCATGGTTAGAAATTATTTATCGTTAATTGCTGCGCTGCAAATATGGTCTGAAGTTTAAAAAAGTGTGAATTTTTGAAACTGATTTTCTTAAAAACTACAGCCAATAGAAAAAATGGTTTGTATATTTGGAATCAAGTGCACTTAATATACCCAAAATCCGTGTTATGCTGTATTATCAGAAACAAAAATTGCAGGACGTGAATTCACGTCAACGGTCGCGAATGTGTTAATATAGTTTTTAATATGAACCAATTATTATCAAATTGATCAAATTTATTCTTATTTGAACAAATCATCCACGCATATCCTTAGAATGTAACAATTTCGTTTTTATTTTGCGTGGATAGAATATATGCTTGACGCGGTTTGCCTCGGCGAGTAAAAACCTCATAAGCCTTTATACAGAATTTCATTTAAATTACATTTAATTACTTACAATGAACGTTTATAGAAATTCTTTTGCTAATCGTCGGTGGTACTCCGTTACTGGCGATACACAAATAAACGCCCATTTCGGTCCTAGAAATTTTTGTTAATTTTAATTCCTCCCCGGGAATTTCGTCACAAACTGGAAAAGAAAGAAAAGAAAAAGATAGAAAAATTAAATTAAAAAAAAATCACACGCTCGCGCGTAGACACGATTTTTAAAAAGGAAGAAGAACGACAAGCAAGAGGATGCAAAAAAAAAACAAGGAAGAAAAAAACAAGAAAGAAGAAGAAAAAATAGAGGAAGAAAAATGATATAACACTTTGAGAAAGGACAGGTTGTCTTCGCGTTTATCTAAGTGTGTTCGCTTAAATTCGAAAAAGAAAAAGAAAAAGAAAAAGAAAAAGAAAAAGAAAAAGAAAAAGGAAGAGTTAAAAGAGGGAGGAGGAGGAGGAGGAGGGGTAGGAGAGAGAGAGAGGAAAGAGAGCACGTGACTATTAAGTTACCTTAATGCTTTCCATTGTTAAGTAGTTCGAAGAGGAAACGGTAGGACAGGGGAGTAGGAAGGGGGAGGTGGTTGGAAGAGGAGGGTATTAGCGAGGGAGGGAAAATGTTGATAGGACGACGGTAACATCAAGAAGAGGGAAAGCGTTAACCGCTAAACCGTGCAAGAGTTTCCTTGTGATTCACCACCAACAACGATGAGAGGACGTTGAGGAGTACGAGGAGGGAGGGATGAGAGGACGAGTATGAGAACGAAGATGAAGAAGAGGATGAGAAGGAAGATGGGGTGAGGGAATGGGAGGAGGATGTCGCGAGGTATATGGCTCATTAAAGCGGCTCGTGTTTGTATGCCACACCACAAGACGGTTTAGAATTGGACGTAATCTCAAGTAGAAGACCAAAGTCAGATTTTCAGCTAAATTGAGAAGATCCGCGGCTTGAAATCCGCGACAGCGTGAAGGAGGTGAAGGAGGAAGACGACAAGGAGGTGCTGGGGGAGGAGGGGGTGGAGGAGGAGAGAATAGAGAAGGACAGCTTGTAGACGTGAACATTTTCAAGATCTTGCGTGAGAGTGCTGGAGCAACGTTCTATCCTTCGAAAGAGGATGGAAAAAGAGCAAGGACGCGTTACTCTTACGTAACTGCTATGGGGGTGCCGCGTGTTCTCAACATTTTTCCATCTACTTTCTCTTTCTCTCTTTCTTTTTCTTTCCTTCTTTTTGTTTCATTGAATTTTTTCATAAAACAATATTAGATACTTTTAACAATATAAGACTTTGCTATAGTTTTTTTTTTCTCTTTTCTTTTTTTTTTTTTTTTGAAATTAGATATATTTACTTTTAGTCTTACTTTATTCCTCGTTAAGATTAATTTTCAATAACGATTTGTTACTATTTTCAAAATAACACAAGTTTTACTGTTTTAATTAAGATATATATATGTATATATTTTGGGGGGAGATTCTTGTTTTTGTTGTAAATAAGCAAACGATTTCAATCATTTTCTATTACAAGAAAAATTAAATTATCTTTCTTTTATATTTACAAAAAAAAAAAAGAAAAAATACGATTAAAATAATTTGCAAAATTTGGATTTACGTGAATATACTTATTTATTTACGATCCTCGTTTATCTATTTCTTTTATTTTTCACGCTTATTAGTAGGTATAGCACCCTGGAAATGATTTGTACTTAAAAAAAAAAAAAAGTATTCTTAATTATTAGTACAACACGTTCGTCTTATTCTTAAGAGGAAGGGGGGAGGGGGAGGGGATTGGTGGTGATAGGGGTTGGCGTAGGTCAATCGTAAAGATTTAGAAAGGTAAACGTGTTTCGCATAATAATGAATGAAAAATCAGTGCTATGGTAGTAGCAGTGGTCCGATAGTGGAAACTATACTGAATGGTAGGAAGGGGGATGAAAACGGGGGTGGTACTGCTTTCGTTGCAAGTATAAAAGTGCTCTTGCCATGTGTCGCAATGTCTCGAGTCATATACATCGTGCTGCAACTGTGTCTGATAGTGCAACGGAATTTGCCCGCCATTAGTAACACCATGCCGTTGTGAATACTAAGTACCTCGTTTACATCGGGTTCAAAACCGGAAGGAAGGAAGGAAAGAAAAGGAAAAGGAAAAGGGAGAAGAAAAGAAAAGAAAAGAAAAGAAAAGAAAAGAAAAGGAAAGAAAAGAAAGGAACGAGAAGAGTATTTGCAGACCGTCAAAAGAAACAGAAAGAGAGAGAGAGAGAGAGAGAGAAAAGGATTGTTGTTTTCAACAAACAAATATTTTCTCGATCGATCGGTCTAATAAAATAAAACGATAATAACAATGAGAGAAAACGTTGACAATCAAATTAGATTCGATTATATCGTTACAATTGGAAATAATAGGGTGAACTTTTAAGTTCATGATTTATTTGCAATACTTCAAGAGAGTGGTAGATGGGTGAGTGGGTGGGTGGTTGGTTGGGGTAGGGTCTATAGTTGTTTAAGTGATTCGAAAAATCGATTAATTTCTTTATACTTTTGTTTTCGTATAATAAGAAAGGGAAACAAATAAACGGAAAACAAAAAACAAAAACAATTAAAAACAACAAAACAAAACAAAACAATTAAAAAACAATTAGTTTTGAAAAAAAGTTCTCTCGAGGAAGAAGGATAATTGATTTATTAATACTACCTTGGGAAGAAACTTTTAGAATTCACATTCTAGATCATTATAATATGATAAAAATAGGAGCTTCTTCTTCTTCTTCTTCTTTTTATTTTTCTTTTGTTTTTGTGTTCGAATGAACGGAGGCTAAACTTTTTTCACTTAATAAAAAAATTAAAATACAAAAAAAAAATAGAATGGGAATGTGGGGGTTAGGGGTGGGGGGAAGACTGGAAAAAGGAGGAAAATGAAAAAGTTCGTATCGTTTCTTTTTCTTTTTTTTTGATTGGTTCCCTCTCTCTATCTCTTTTTCTCTGTTGTTTTACTTCCTTTTGGTTCCGGTTAACGTTAAATGGTAAAAGGACGATAGATATTTAAAAAAGTACCAGAGGGTGGTTTTAATAGTCGATATAATCCTGATTCGCCATTTTATGAATCTTTAAATAGAAAACTTCTTTCCTATGCGAATATATTGATCGTAATTTCGTTCTCTCTCTTTCTCTCTCATCACACTCGTATATAATGTAAGTCACGCGCACGTAAATCTCGTATTAATTGTTTCCAACATTGCGTTACCTCGTTTCCTCGTAATATTTTATTTGAAAATATAATGTAATAAATGAAAAAATAAAAAAGAAAAAGAAATTAAAAAAAAAGAAAAGAAAAAAAGAGAAGTAAATTTCAATTGAATAAAATTATAAATGTTAATCATCATTCAAATATATATTGGCAATATCATTTTAAAAATATCTAATTATAATTCTGATTATAAGCTAAACGTATATAAAATATAAAATATGTAATATAATAATAATAATAATAATAATAATAATAATAATAATAATAATGATAATAATAATAATAATATAATAATTCGAACTAATACATTCTGAATGAGCGTAAACACACTCGGCTGGTCGATTAAAATCATATAAAATATTTGATATAATATAACTTGTGTAACATATACTTATACATATATATTATATATGTGAGGGTGAGAGAAAATTCGAGAGTGAACAGAGAGGCGGTGTTTTCTGTCTCGTATAAAAGAAAAAGAAACTTAAGAGACGTAAATAACGAGGAGTGGTTAGTATTAAAAGTGTTGTGCATCGATATTTCTAGAAATTTTTTTCTAGAAAATTTTTCTTATAAGTACCGCTAAGAAAATGTTATTCCTTATTTGTCGTATTTTGGTGATATGAGTATGAGTGTGTGATAATTTATTGTAGGATTAAATAGACCGTTTCTCTGGACGGGAACGCATGCGTTTTGTTCGTAAGGCGACAACACTTGAGTTTATCGCCTATTGTGTGCTACCACCGAACCTATCAAATATTCCCTATAGGAGGTAAAGGAATATTCTAGATTTTTTATGTTATAGAATGATCGACAAGTTTCGAGAAAGACGCTACGGGAAATGATAAAAGACGTTAGGGACAGGGGATGATTAGTATATATAGGCACCGAAAAGATAAGCCGAGGGGCGAATTTGCATGGTCTTGATTTGGAAATTACGGCAAGTGTGTTTTGTATCAAAGATAACGACGAAAGACGACGAATAACAAAAAGATAATTACGACTATATCTTTGTTAAGAATTACGACGTTTAAAGTAACATAAAACACGACGAGTATTAATTATTAATTTACACGATTCTAGATACTTATGATTTTATCCTATTTCATTATATCAAATAAAACCTTATTACACATTATAAACAACATATAATATTAAACTAGATATTAAATAAATAAACTACAAAATATATAATGTATATATATATATATATATATATGTATAGAGGTTGGGTTGACATATAGGTATAGTAAAAGCCACAGTAATTTGCCATTCATGAAATCGCTTATTAAGACTCAGTTAGCCTTAGTTGTTAAACTATCGTAGGAAAAATGTTGATATCGGTTGTTTTAGAAAGTTAATTAAATTTTCTTGGTAATTATTCCGTAGGTACTTATAAACGAAAGACAGAAAGAGAGAGAGAGAGAGAGAGAGAGAAAGAGAGAAAGAGAAAGTGAGAGAGAAAGAAAGAGAGAAAGAAAGAGAGAAAGAGAGAGAGAAAGAGAACATTTGAATATTCACGAGTGGCACGATTGCGTCTGAGGAGAGCACAATTATACGTACATTCTACTTTACATGGAGAAACGGTAGGATATATATTAAATCTTACCGTGAGACTTCTGGTTCAAAGCACTTCCTGCTGGCTCCCGAATTATAATACCCTTGCTGTCTTCTCTACGCCAGTGAACGCGGGGCGGGGGTACGCCTCTTGCACGGCACGTTAACTTCACCTGTACGTGTTATGAAAGCGGAATTATAAATAGAATAGACTTTATTATTGCGTTATGCTAATAGCCCCCTATGTACTTCTATCTGGTCATATTCGTTACTTTTGAACCACTCGAAACATTCGAGATACAATTGAAAACGAGATATATGGGGGAGGGGGTGGGTGAGAAGAGGGAGGGGAATGTTAAATAAAGAGAATGATTGAGTTTCAAGATTGTTTCAAATCTAAACACTCTAGTAATATACCTTCCATCAAATGATTTTTTCTTTTTTTTTTTTTTCTTCAAATAGTTTTAATACATTAACACAATGTACGATTATTATTATTATATAATTTAACGTGTAATTATATTTTTATTAAAATCGTTTACATTTTGTATAGGAAATTAATTATGTCGCGAGTAGGTTTTTATACGTATATAGGATGTTTCTTTCTGTAAGGGTTTACATTTACTATAGTGTGGGATTATTGAATATAGTTATTAGATCTGTGTGTGTGTGTGTGTGTGCAAAGGTGGATGCTAACCTGACCACCTTCTCCAACATTAACGTCACTGGATGTATCTTCTGATACAAAGTCCGGTGGTACCACGATAGACAACATACCTGTCTGAAACATATATTTTGAAAAATATAGAAAAAGAAAAAAAAAAAGAAAAAAAGAGAACAAACAAATGAGACAATAAATAATAATGATGATAATAAAAAATAATTACGAGATACGTCTGACAACATTACGAGAAAGAGACTGATCAAACTTAAATTAAGAAATAATAATATTAAACAAAAAAAAAATAAATTTCCAATGAATGTCTGTTGATTATTTAACAATAGAAAATAAATATTTGACAAATAAAAGATATGTCTGGCAACATTAAAAAAAAAAAAAGACAGATTGACCTGCAAGGTTGCAATAGCTAAAAAAAAATATATATATATGTATAATAATATATATAAATAACGCAAATAAATCCAATAAAATATTCAAATCAAATGAAATATTACGATAATATCTAACAATAAGATAATACTAATATCTCTCTCTTACCTGGCTCTTCATGGGATCCGTATTAATCTGACACATATATAAACCCCCGTCTTCCACTTGGACACCCTTAATATTAAGATTCCACGTGGTATGATCGCTATGAGATACCGATACCCTCTTGTTGTGTGTTATTACGTGCTCGTGAATAGCCTGTATCGCTTTAGTGTCGGCCTTCACCCAGCCTACCTGCCCAAAAATCAGCAGAACGCGAAATTAAAGTTGGAATACCGTGTAATGATAACCTACGCTTTTATCATCTCTCTCTCTCTCTCTCTCTCTCTTTTTATCTCTATCTCTTTCTCTCTTTCTCATTCATTCACTCTTATTTCCAGTCATACCTACAAGATACATGAGAGAGAGAGAGAGAGAGAGAAAGAAATAACTACGTGGTAGATTGTATATACGATGCATGTATATATTGTGTACGTACACATACACAAATATAGGAGAAAATCGTTTGGTGTATTTCGAAAAATCCTTTTCATTCCTCGCTTAAGCTTTAACATCTAGTCCTTTCGTTTTATCTTTACCGATCGCTCGATTGAAAATTTCTATACGCTCTTTTTCTTTTTTTTTTTTTTTTTTTTTTTTTTTTTTTTTTTTTTTTTTATTATATTTTATTTTTTTTTATTTTTTTTAAATNTACTTTATTTTATTATATTTTATTTTTTTTTATTTTTTTTAAATTTCCTCTTGATTTTTGTGTCTTCCAACAGATAGATTATTATTTTATCGTATCTGTTTACAACATATATACGCGTGTGTTAATGACGTAAGGATTTTTTTTCTTCTTGTTTTTTTAATCATTATCCACGATCAAATAGGAAGCTCGTGATTGATTATACTTGAATAAATATCCGTAGGATTATTAATTTTAATTATGTATTATAGTTTTGGATCAATCCTGTATGAGATATTTCTCGACGATATAGATGTATTATAATTATAGTGCGTTCGTTTTTGAAACTCGTTACTGCGAGAGAGAGAGAGAGAGAAAAAAAAATGAAGCAACTTTTCGATTTTAAGTAACATCGATTGTGAAAGCAGAAAGCAAAAAGCAAACAGGAAAAAAAAAAAAAAATCAGGAGAAAAAATACGCGTCCATTTGGATAGCACGATGGGGTGGAAGGTAGTAGGGGGAAGGGGTAGAGGAGTGGAGGGGATGCTTGGGAAGTTTAAAACCAATATTTATAAAATTTTATGCTTCATCCTGCCTAAACTCTCTCCCAGGTTAACCCTATATCATTGAAATTTTAAATGGCACCTTCAAACTTGCGATACATCATTTTAAAAAGGTTATCAAAATTCGCTTCGAACAACGTATAAATAAAACGAAAAAAGAAAAAGAAGAAACAAATTGAGAATAGATCTGTGGGTGGGAAGGTTTGAAAACGTGGGTTAGTTGAAAAGTTTGATAACATTGAAATATGTTTTTAGTAGTTCGTTTTTATATTACATGCAAATATTAATTGTTCTTTATCTACAGTGATATTAAATTATGAATAATCCTTTGATATATATATTTAATTAAATATCCTGTTGCATCGTAAGCAAGAAATAAAAAAGAAGAAATAAATAAAGAAAGAAGGAAGAATAAGAATAAGAATAAGAATAAGAATAAGAATAAGAATAAGAATAAGAAGAAGAAGAAGAAAGTTTGCTCGAAGGGCAAACGCTTTTTGGATAAAACCTAAGTAGTAGGAGAGCTAAGAGATTTGTCTACCAGGTCCAGGATAATCTTTTTGAGTTAAAGATCTTTTCACTCGTGTAAGAGCGTCAATAACCGAAGCACCAAAGAGGATCAAGGAAAAACGAGTGAAGATCCTTCTCGTTTTTCCGCATATAATTATGCATAACGTAAATTACATTGAAATACACGCACATATGAGATACTTCCTTCTGGTTTGTTCATTTAAACTAATGAGCCTTTTTAAAGTTCTCTCTCTCTCTCTCTCTCTCTCTCTCTTTATCTTTCCTTCCATATACAATATCTATATAATATATAGAAATACATTTATAGAAAGATTTATTAAATCTATTAAATATAACAATTATCAATTATAAATATTATATATACAAAAAATGAACAACTTTTTAGATAATATTTAATAAAATTGATTATTTTCAAATAATTAGTAATAATTTTATTTTATCAAAAACAATAAGCTTCATAATTTTGGTCCTTATTTAGATAATAGACAGAGTGAAAGAGTAATTAATATTTTATCCTATTTCATCTCATTATATTTCATTATACCTGATTTAAATCTTTGAATAAATATTAATAAACGATATTAAATAAATTAAAATGATATAAATACATAATAAATATTACATATATATGTAGGTAACGTATATATATATTAGAGTATAAGGAGACTTTCTGTTTAATAACTAGAACCTGAACTTTGAGAAGATACTTGTTGTACAGTGTCCTCTTACTCGTGTTTCAAACTGGAGAGACGAACAATATGGCTCATAATGACAGAGAGTGGAAGGACCAAAACGACTTTGTCGAAAATTTTGATACTACATCTATAATAACTATTTTGTAAATAAATCAAAAGAAAAACAACAACCAAAATAAAACAAAATAGGAACAAAGTATTTATCTATAAAATAATATGCTTGAATGAGTTAGGTTTTTCTTTTTTGTATTTTGTTTTTTTCTTTAGTGCACAATTTACTGACACCGAAATAAATACTTTCATATATTATATGAGTCTACTTGTTAAATCAATTTCATGAAAGAAACTTACCCTGTATCCTCCTAAATTTTTGACCAGGCACGTGAAGGTCGCGTCCCTTCCAAGTGGTATCGTTAAATTTTTAATAGGACCAGAAAACTCCGGTTGATAAGCGCCACCTAAATGGAGATGTAAAGGAAAAAAAAAAGAAAAAAAGGGAATGAAAATAAATGCGACTTTCGTTTCAAAAAAACATCGATGAAAGAACGCGATCGATTATAGAACTCTTATACATATAAATATAAATATAAATGATAAATTAAAAGATTTGCGAGTGGTTTTCGAAATTTTGATATGAATATGATTGATTTTTTTCAAATATTATTTCAACATATTTAATCCAACCTTTATGTAAATTGATATTGCGTTTATCTGCTTTGAAATAAGTGTGTATGTGTGTGTGTATGTTTATGTGCGAGTGTACGAATGAATTACGAAACGCACATACATATACCATGCAAGATTTATTCACTTGACTGTCAAGTGAATTCGATGGTCTGACTATAACGTTCTTTCCTTTTCAATATAGCATTTATATGTATGTATGAATGAGTACATATATATATATAAATCAACGATTTAAAAGGAACGTTTACGAGGAAATTCCGATTATTTTCTATTTTTTAATACTTCCATCTCTATATTTCTTTCTCTCTCTTTTTTTTCTTTTTATTATATAAATAATAATATTACAAAAAATGAAAGATAATGTAATTAATTTGATAAAATTATTTAAGAATTTATATTTATTCTACACTAAAATGTCCATTAATGTAAATACTTATTGATATATTAAATCAATCATTGTTATCATTTTAAATGACGCCTTAATCTTCCGATATAATTTTGTTTTATATTCTTTATTTCCAATACCGTTTATTTAATCTATTTATTAAAGAGTTTTTCTTGTTAAATAAATAAAATGAAGAGGTTCGATTGACCATTAAAGTATTCAAAGCTTTATTCCAAGATCATGGAAGAGATTTAGTTAATAAAAAATTCTTCTTCTAATATAAAAAGTTATTATTAATCATCATTATGGATTTTGTTGCAGATATCACATCAATTTAATCGAATATTATTACTTTCTTACTTCTCTCATATTATCTCAATAATATATTTTTTCCTTCGATTCAAAAATAAATCTATAATAACAATAATAATTAATAAAATATAATATATATAAATATATATATATATATTAACAATTATTTTATAATATTTTTTTTGATTTGATTTGGACATACATTAGATATACTTTATCTCTGTCTCTTTTTCTCATCTTCTTCGAGATTTTTCCGAAAAATATTTTCTCTCTTGGACGACACTTGAAAAAATCGAATTAAAAGCTTGTAAACAAGAATCAAAAGCGAGCTTTCTTAATTAAAGGGCTCAGAAAGGGCAGGGAAAACAGTGACGCGTAATAAGAAATTCACGAAAATGAAAGAGAGAGAGAGAGAGAGAAAAGGGAAAGAGAGTTTGACATAGGACGTGATACTTCCTCTGAGAGGACGAGGCAAGGCAAGCTTGACCTATTTACCTCATATAGCACGAGTAATAGGATTGAAAAGTATTATGAATGAAAGCGACAATAGCCGTGAGATCTTCGAGACTGTTACTTCGAAAAATAAGATAAACTTAAAAAGAGTAAAACAAATTAACGTAATTGACTCCGGCTAAGCTCGATTTACATCATACGCAGGATGAAAGCTTATAAATGAGAGGAGAAAAAGTGAAAAAAACAAGTAAAGGCAATCGAAAAATAGAGAAAGAGAAACATTGCAAGAAAGAGAGAGGAAGAGAGAGAGAGAGAGAGAGAGAGAAAAGTGTTTTCAAACCGTAGCGAAAACACAAATACGTAGATTAGCGAGTTTTCCTCAACACTCCTCGTCTTTTTATGACGTTTATTTTTCTCTACCTACTTTATTATATTTCCCTTTTTTCTTTTTATTAATTTTCTTGTTTTTTTCTCTCTATATATATCTCTCTCTCTCTCTCTCTCTCTCTCTCTCTCTCTCTCTCTCTTCATTTCTATTTACTTTTTTTATTCTTTTTCTTTCGTGTGTTTGTTTTGTTGTTTATTCTTCGTCTGCCTGTCTGTTTAAGCTTGGATTTATAGATTTATTTTGATTAATGAACTCCAAGATGATGATGATGATGAAAAATAATAAAAATAATAGTGTCTCGAACTTACCAAAAATATCGTTCGGATAGGCCAGGACAGCCAGTACCACCAATAGCAAGGCCTTCGGAGTATTTACCATTTTGCCACTCTCATGGATACAACTGCAACAATGTAGGAGTGACAAAAGTTATTGTTTTAATGTATATAAAACCGGGTATGATAACTTTGATCATCTTGAATATCTTTACGTTATTTTTTGATATATATATATGGAAAAAGTTTGTTCGAGAAACTCGTATTCTAGGGTAAACGTAGAGTACCAGTTACTTTGCGTATTTGTTTCTAATCTCTATGACTTTTAGTTCCAAAGATATATCCCTGCTAATGGAAAGACTTGGATATTAAAAGGATAAATAATGGATACTAAAAATTATTCGTTTAACAATCTTTCTCGTTATTTTGTAAATCGGCCGCAATTTTGAATGTCTTTTTGATAAAATGAAATCATTATTGGTTTATAAGAATTTGTTTATTATTAACTGTTTATAACAAATTGTTATATAATTATTAACAATATCATAAAATAATGGAGAAAATGTTGCCCTTTAAAATGGTATATGATTCAAATTTCTACGACGTTTAGTTTCAGAGATATGCACATTTGAATAAAAGATAAATAAATTGTTTATTTAATATAAAAGAAAAACAAAAAATGTTTAATAATCTTTATATAATTTTATATATAAACCAAACGAAATTTAAATATTTCTTTGAAAAAATAAAATAAATTCAGTTCTCAGATATTTATTTATAAAAAATTGTTTATAAAAAATTGTTAATTAAAAATATATATAAAAGTTTATCCTTTAAAATGATATATAGATCAAGTTTTTAGGATTTTTAGTTCCCGAGATATTTCTATGTAAAGTAAATATGTTTACGTTAACCCGCTGACCTACATAATTTCATTCAATGTGTGTCAATGACCCAGTTACCTATATAAATTCTAAGAATTTGCGCACGCTTATCACTACTACTACTACTACTACTACTACGAACAGTTGTACTATACGTCAAGTGAATGAAATCTTTCAAAAGCGATATTTTCTGAACAAAAAGTCGTACAGATATGAAACAAGTTGCAATTTAAAGACAAGTCTATCCTCCATTTATTTAAACAAATCAACAATATTGTTATAATAAAACTGATATTGTTAATAATTTTTAAAATTGAATTTTTTTTACCTTTCGATATCTTCGAAAGGAAAAATCATAGAAACACGAAATAAGTACTATTCTAAAGATAATTGTATAATTTTGTTTATTTAAATAAACAAAATTTTAGTTAATAAATTTTAAAATATAGAAAATTACTTATTTTTTTTTTACCACATCTTTCGATATCTTTGGAAGAGAAAATCGTGGAGACATGCCACTTGTAAAATTTTCAAAGTAATTTTAATTCTCTCTATTTGTGTTTAAATAATTCCATAATATTTTTCTCTCTCTCTCTCTCTAATAAACCTTATGTTTATATTAAAATAAAAATAATGTGATGTACAAAGCGATAAAAATTATTGGCGCTCATACAACAAATTCTATTCGAGTTTTTTCCGATATAAACGCAAATAAACTATCGATCAAGTTATTTTCCTGTGAATAGATTCAAATCGAATGAACAACCAACCATTCTATAAAGCTCCTATATTTGCTTCGTTCCAAAAAAAAAAAGAGAGAGAGAGAGAGAGAGAGAGAGAGAGAGAGAGAGAGAGAGAGAGAGAGAGAAAAGTAAAGAAATAAAGGAAGAAAGAAAAAGCAAGAAAATTCGTTAAATATTCGGATTTCGAATCGTTGATGTTTCCTTCTATCAATTTTTGTTTAACCCACGCCGTCTTTGCGTTTCATGTAGATGGCTTTGAATAAAGGGTATTGAGGTGTAGCTTTAAAATATAATAAAAATAAAAAAAAAAGAGAAAAGAGCAAAAAATACTCTGAGTAGAAGTAGTCGTCGATTTGCATGTTTAAAAGAAATCGATTTTATCTGGAATCGAATATATTTTAAATTTAATATCTGTCAATATAAAATATATATATATATATGTCTCCCTTTCTTTCTCTCTCCTTATCCTTGTTTCATTTTTTTTTTATCTTATGATGAAATTAGAACAGATCGATTTGAGTTCAATTTCCTTTATTTAACTTGTCGATAAGACGCGAACAACTGACAAATTTTCTTCTCCTTATATATGAATGTTTGAAAAATAGTTAATAAAATGAACAAATAAAAATGAATAAAATAAGAAAAAATTAAAAGAAAAAAGATGAAGCAGAAGAAGAAGAAGAAGAAGAAGAAGAAGAACCAGAAGAACATATTCCTTTCCTTTCAACGGCTATCCTTGGAAGGATCCATGTCATGAACTACTACTTCACCCCTCTCAACGTACGCTACCTACTACCTTTCCAAAACTTATTTAATACGTATTCTGAAATACGTAATATCCTTTCCTCCTCCTTCTCCTCCTCCTTCTCCTTTTCCTCTCCTTCTCCTCCTCGTGTTCCTTCTTCTTCCGCCCACTTTTGGTACCACCTTTTTCCAACACCGCTTTCCATCTACACAACTGCGAAGGCGATATCACTTTTCTAAACTTGGTCTGCATAGTTTGAAGAGAATATCATCGTTCCGTCCCGCGTATCCAATATTCAACGGCACAACCCTGATGATACAAATCTCCATTACCGTTTTCATCATACGCTCTCACCGCTAACCTAACACGACACATATTCACATTTTTCTTATCTTTTTACCCTTTAATTGTCTCTATCTATCGATAGATTTTCTTTTACTAATATTTTTATCTATAAGTATATATATA